AGGCCAATCTGAGGGGGTTCGTGGCTTGAAGGCTCTACTAAAGGCAAGGGTAATCGTTGGTAATCTTTAGAGGAGAGCGGTCGACAGCGAGCTTCGTATCAGCGATGACAGACAACACTGGCGGCGGAAGGTCTTGTGTTGTGCGCGCGGTAATCGCTGGGCTCGGCTCGCGGCTGACCGTAACATCGGGGGAAAGACTAGGACACAAAAGCGTCATCATCTTCATCTGTCAGATTTGTTTACCTAATGTATACATTTACTTTAACTATACTCTCTGGTTATTTGCATCGCTGTTTGAATCTATAATATTTGTGTGTCTACATATTTGTGTTTCTAATGTATATGTTCTGTATAACTATACTCTTTATAAAATTCAATTACGTCAATGTTTGAATTGTTCATATTGTTTATCTATTGTATATATACAATATATCTAATCATGACAGTGTTTTTTTCAAAGCTAGATCGATTTGTCATATTGTTTATCTATTGTATATATATAGTATATCTAATCATGACTGTGTCTTTTTTTCAATGCTAGATCGATGATTTTTTTTTCAACTGCAAAACGCCGATGTACTGTAAATCCGTTCGAATTTTTGAGTTTGTGCAGCCCAAATTTGTAGCTATGATGTTTGCTGTGATTTTTTTTTAATTTCGATTTTGATTGCATCAATGACATGATTTTTATTTTGGAGAGAGAACGGATTTATTGGAAAGAGAAGAATGAGCATATTAATGACATGGTTTTATTTTGGAAAGAGAAATAGATTTGTTCAAAAGAGCACATATCGTAATTGTGAAAATAAAATCTCAATCAAATCCCCTCTTGATAAACATTTTAACTGATCGTAAATGTAAAAACAACTCCTACATGGAGTCTAAGAATGTAAATTCCCCAAAGTCTTATTACATTAGAATTTATAATATTTATTAAATTATCCTTACGGACCATTGTATACTTAATCAAACTTTACACTTTTGCCATTAAAATTATATTAGACATAAGGTTACTTTAGTGAGTGTAATCTTTTAAAAGAATCATTACTTCTTTTATAATAGTATATTAAACTATAAATGATTTGGCATGTAGGTGATTATAACAACGATTAATTAAAAAAATAATAAATTATTATAATGTGGATAAAATTAAATAAAATACTGATAATTAATAAAAATATTTGATTGCGGAATATAATTTTAGTTATAAGATTTAGTTTCTTGCATTTATTTGATGTGAGTGTTCCGATCAGTTTTTTAAATATATTTTTACAAATCAAGCAACTATCTAACCAAACATTTTTTTTTTACAACCACAAATAGTATCAGGTCGGTCAAAACAGCTAATACCAACAGTTGGTCAAAACAGTAATTAGAATCTGCTATATGCTAATTAGTTTTCTATTTGTATTCCCAAGTACCCAAGTGGTGGCGAAAGAGTCAGAAACTACAAGCTTATGATTTGGAAAAATGCTACGGTCCCGTTACGAAATCATTCTGTCGGGGTTAATTTGTAATCGTTAGATCATCATGTAATCGTCGAGAATAGTTGATCTAACAATTATAAACTCTGACGAAATGGTTCTTTAATGGAACAGTATAGCATCTGCCTATGACTTGATCAGTGTATGGTTAAGGATACGGGAAGTTATTATAATATTTATGAATTATTTACTTTTAAGATCCAAATATATGTAGAAAATTGATTATTTTAATTAGAAAAGTCATGGAGCTTCTAACGGGGTAAGGCACATGGTGAGTTATGAGATGAATGTACGAACGTACCTATCTGACATACATTCATTATCAACAAAATTGACTCCTTAGACGTTCTGAGCCACTCGGATATAAAGGAGCCAATAACATCAGGCACATTAGGACTAAAAGGTCCTAAAAGGTGTAAGTATGAAATCTGAGCATTAAAAAAAATATAAAAAAATAAATAAAAAATAATAAATAAATTGACACCTAAACTAACTTAGCCAAACAAAAAGTTAAAGTGCATGCCACACTCTTCTCTATATAAACTGACCTCCATAAGCACATTTTACGACATCATCATTAATACCTTTAAGCAGCAGTTTTATTGCTATCTTTCTATATAATTTTTTGAGCCTAATGGCAATCATCCCTAAAGGCATAGTGCTTTGTGTGCTAACACTCGCCACAATAAGCTGGGCAAGAAAAGTTGATTTTGTAGAGGATAATGTGAAATCACAATGTGGGCTCACTAGGTATCCAGCCTTGTGCGCTCAAACCCTGACAGGAGGAGGATTAGCACCAAATGTCCATATTCTGTCGGCCCTTGTAAACGGAACCCTATCCGAATCCAAGCTGCCCGATTCAAATTTCGAGGCGCTTAGCTCCCATTTTATCTCTCCCGAAGCACAACAAGCCCGGTTGGCCATCGGTATTATACTCATTCAACTTTTTTTATCATCTTCCGATTTGTAATTTCGTTCGCGTGGGCAAAATTTAAAAAACGGTCTACTATGTTGGTCATTTTTCGAAAAATTAAGATCCATCATATACAAGAATGGTCCACTAAGTTGCCACTTTAACCGAAATTCGTAGAAAAACCAAGGTAGTGTACTGAAAGTGACCGTCATTTTTAGTACACTATGTTGGCTATTGTACAAGTTTTGATTAAAAGAGAAAACTTAGTATTGATGACACCTTATATGATGGACTTTCTCGGCAAACGTACCAACATAGTATATTAGAAATAAAATTTATCCAGTTCGCATGTGTGAGTGACTCCATATTTTGTTTCCTTCACCATTCCTTAATTTGGTTATCATTTGAATCTGTCTAAACTTTAAATTAATTATAATGCCAAATCATCTATAAAAGTGTTAAGATCTCATCTAATTTTAAAAATCTACCAAGCAATCCACTTTATATTTTACGCAACTATTAATATATATTTTTTTTTTTACTATTTTTCCTTCATATATCATAAACTCTTAATTTCTTCTTTTAATTTATTATTATTAATTATTATCCTATACATTTACACTTGACATGCAAAAAATTAGATGACTGCCACGATCTCATGGGAATGTCGGTGAGAAGACTGAACCAGGCCGTGCAAGCACTAGAGACAAAGTCACCGGAAAAACACAAAGAGGACATCCAGACATGGCTGAGCGCCGCCATAACTTTCCAGCAGGCCTGCAAGGACTCGGTCGAGGGTCACGTGGCATCCAATGCTTACGCCGCCGAGATTCACAGGAAAATGGACCATCTTTCTGAGCTCGTGAGCAACCCGTTGGCCCTCACAAACCGGATCACGCAAGACCCGACCGCAAGGTTATTCCCCAAGGGCCGCGAGCTTGTCGACCCAAAGAGCTTCCCAAGCTGGGTGTCTGGGCCCGACCGGAGACTGCTCCAGTCCACTGAAATAAGAGCAAATGCTGTGGTGGCTAAGGACGGGAGCGGAGACTACACTACGGTGACGGAGGCAATAGAGGCCGCGGTTGGGGGCCGGTTCGTGATATACGTGAAAGCCGGGACATATAACGAGAAGATCGACAGTAATAAGGATGGGATTATGCTGATTGGCGATGGGAAATACTCGACAATTATTACTGGGAGTGGGAGTGTGGCCAAAGGCTCCACTCTTCGGGGGTCTGCAACGTTTAGTGAGTCATCATCATAATTAATATCCTCCCTATCTCTTTCTAATTGCATGTCTTTGGAAGTTAATACTCCCTCCATTTTAAATTAAATGTCGTTTTGACTTTTTATATTCATTCATTTTGCTATATATTTAGATAATAATAATGTCTAGATACATAGCAAAATGGATGAATAAAAAAAGTCAAAACGACATATAATTTAAAATGGAGGTAGTAGCTTATATGGCCCAAAATTGACTTTATTGATAAAGTCTAAACTACAATAAAGTACATCAAAATTAAACTAATAACGGGAAATATAGTCCCCTCCTACGGAATCATTTCATTAGGATTTTTAAATGTAAATTATCTATTTATTATACACTAATCTACGTGGTGTATTTGTGGTTAACAATTATGACGGAATGGAACTGTAATGGGACGGTAGTATTTCTCATTAATATATATTCACATTGTCACTCATGTATATGACGTCATTAATTACAAAAGAATGATATCGGGTGTATTTACTTGCAAGTTACCTTCTTCAATATTACCACCATCACACGACACATAACCCACGTTACATTTAAGGCTGAGCAGCATAATAAACATGTACTGATCGAATTGAAACTTTTGATGATTCAGCAATCACCGGCGACGGGTTCATCGCCCGGGACATTGGGTTCTCGAACACGGCTGGGGCCCACGCGGAGCAAGCAGTGGCCCTAACAGTGTCCTCCGACCGCTCAGTGGTGTACCGGTGCAGCATCGCCGGGTACCAAGACACCCTCTACGCCCTCTCCCTCCGCC